TAGCTCCGGGGGTCGCCCGCGGGCACCCGGCCGGAGCTACGGGACGTCGCGGGAGAGGCAGCCCCGGGCTGGCGGGGGACGGCGGCACGGGAGGACGGCTCCGGGAGGACCTGCGGCGAGGGGATCCTTTCGTGGTGGGGAGGAGAAGTGGGGCTCACTTTCCCCCGCCGGGAAGGCTGGAGAAAGCGAGGGGGAGGGCAGTCGCGCTGGGAGTCACCGTCACCTCTGCTCTTCCCGCAGGCACCGGGCTGGGCACTGTGTCCCTCTGGGGCAGCCTCCTGCTCGCTGCCGGCTTTGCTCTCGACCCAGCACCGCCAACCTGCAACTGCTCAGAGCCCATGGACTACCAGGCTTTCCGGGAGGCTCCGCTCCCCGAGAGCTGCTGCCTCAACTTCACCAGCTCCAACATCACCCACCTGGACTGGGGCACACTGGTGGGGGTGCAGGGGCTGCGGGAGCTCTACCTCTCTCACTGCAGCATCACAAACATCAGCAACGCACAGGGAGTGCCTCCTGCCTTGGAAATCTTACACTTAAGTCACAACCTGCTGGAAAGTCTCCCTGGAAGCTTTCTAGAAAATGCCCCTAATTTGAGGGTTCTTTATCTGGACAGCAACCAGCTTCAGGAGCTACCCAGGTCCTTCCTGAAAGCATCTTCCCAGGTCCAGGAGGTCTACCTGGGCTTCAATGCCCTCACCTTCCTTCCTGCCAGCCTCCTGAAGCCATCTCTGCTCCAGCTTCAGCTCTCCAATAACAGCTGGGACTGCAGCTGTGCTTTGCTAACCAACTTGGAGGGTTGGTCCAGCCAGGCTGCTGAGGTTATCTGCCACACACCGGAGCACTACCATGGTGTGGGCCTCCAGAGCATCCCCCGGGATGAGCTGTGCCACTCACACGGTCTCACTGCCCTCTTCATCTGCCTGCCCCTGCTCCTCATCCTCATCAGCATCACTTGGTGCTTCTGCCGGCAGAAGAAGAAAACCAACTACAGCCTTCAGAGTAGGTCCCAGAGCCACAGGGCCATGGCAGAGAGGAGCAATGTGCCAGTGTCTGCAGAGCCCCACCACTACATCCCCTATGAGCTGCCTGCTGCTCCCTCCAAGACTGAGAAGAAAGTGCTGCTGGGGAAACCCGTCGTGCTCCAGCCCTTCGTGGATTCATTGGAGAGCAGCAGAGACCTCTATGAGGAGGTGGAGATACAGGTGGGATCCCCCAGCAGTTCCCAGGTGCCATCCCATGAAGGGCAGCTGGGCACCCCAGAGCCACGGGCAGAGGAGCTGGGCAGTGAGCCAGAGGTGGACACTGTCAGCGTGAGCGAAGTCCTGAAGGACTCTGCTGACCGGGAGAAGATCTACATGAGTCAGTCAACCAGCTACTACAACCTGGTACCTGGTATCGAGCTGGAGGACTCAGACAACCTGGAGTATGAGACCATTGACCTGCACTGATGGCAGGACTTGGGCTGTGTCTGGAACACACCAGCAGGATGGCAGGGGCCGGAGTGAAAGCCACAAGAGCAGGAGAGACAGGAGTTGTCCTCCCATGGCTTACAGTGGCTGTTTGCAAAGCTGCACCCCCAAATACCCATCCTTTCCCCTGTGCTACCATGTGAACCCCTCGCTTGCCGTGTGCTGCAGCTGGGCAAGGGTGCAAGGGTGCTTCAGGCTCTGGGGACCCTGCCACAGGCTGGTGGTGCCTGAGGAAGGACATGGAGGGAAGGTGGGGGCTGGTTTTTGGGATCAAATGATGATGCTGTGCGTGCCAGACCCACTGACCAGCGCTTCCAAGACCAGCTCTTGTTGGAGCCAGATGGTGTCTGGCACAGACCTGCTGCTCTCCAACCTGCAGAGAACACAGTCTGGAGACATGAAACACAGCTGGCCCTGCCTGTTTGGTCTGCAGGGAACATTGCATTTGGATGGGGTGCCCTGGGCTTGTCAGGGAAAGCCTGTGGTGGCTTTGCCTGCTGCCCACCCCACACCCCACAGTGGCACAGGGACTTTGAACAGTCAATGCACACGTGCTGCTTCATGGTGTGTGTGTGTGTGTGTGTGTGTGTACACTTGTGGGAGCGGGTGTGTGAAGTGCACAAGCACACGGCAGCATCAGAGGGGGGCCCTTGCAGCCAGCCCTGTAGGATCCAGCTCTCAGTAAAAATACATTGTTTTGCTCTTGGCAGTGCGGCTCCATCCCTTTGTTTGTGTTTTGGGGTAGTGGGGAGCCAGCCAGTGGGATGTGGAGAGTGCAGGGATGGTGGACTTCACTCCTACCCCATCTACCCTCCCATGCCCTGGGTGATGGCCCAGTGAGGGTCTTGCCCAGCATGTCTGGAGCCTCTTTGCAGGAGCCACCCTTGCAGAGCAGAGTTGGGCACTGACTAAAGGCCAGCAGAGCCTTCACTTTATACCAGGGTTTACAACAGGGGTGGGGAAGGTGTCAGCCTGCTGTAAATGCCACAGGTCCTGAACAAAGCAAGAATTTGTGGGGCTCCTGGGAGCAGGGCAAAGGCTGGGGGTGCTGTAAATCACTGCCCAATACAGGCACCCCCAGCAAGTCTCACCCATGGTGCTCCAGGCCCTCTCTGCAGATGGGGGGTGGGGGCACCCTTGAGTCCTGCTCCTCCTGCCCAGGGGGACATTCTCCAGGCTGGAAGCTGCATTGGCCACCCTGTCTGCTCTGGAGCTGTGCTGGGCCTGGTGCCCAGGCAGGAAGGGAGGGAGCTGGGCAGGGCAGGACGCAGAGCTCCGGCCGGCAAAGGAAGTTGTGTTTCCTGCATAGCACACAGAGACTTCCAGCAGCCCATGGTAGGACTCCTCAGTCCTAGCACTGCTCAGTCCCAGCCCCACCTGCCCTGGGGATGAGGATGGGGAGATTTCCCTTCATGTCTCCTGTCACTCATGGATGTTTCCCACTATTTTATATCCAGCTGGACTTTTTTTCTTCCCTGCTCCCTCCCTGGCCCTGGGAAAGTATCCCAGCCTTTAATATCCCTCCATCACTCTCTGCCAAGTACTACAGCCAGGGTACCTCTGTGTACCCTGGCTCATGCCACCCTCACATCCCCACAGAGGGGCCAGAAGCTGCCATAGGGAAAAGGCAAGACAAGCAGGGTTAGCAGCTGTCTCCAGGGGCTGCAGGCCAGCCCACAGCTGCAGATTTTGACTAGGGCTAACAACAGCTGCGTTTTTCACCTGTGCTCCAGAAATGCCCACAGCCCTTCCATGGGTACCCCGTCTGCTCACATACCCTGAGGTCCCATTCCCAGGGCTGCTGGGAACGATGTAACATCCTGTCCTTTCCCTCCTTTTCATGGAGCCTAAATTCAGACACCACGGCTGATACATAGGGGAGCGACCCAAATCACCCCACTGGGTCTTGTCCAGCCCCTGCTCTGGTACCTGCAGGCCCTGCCCAAATCTCCCTTGGTGACAGGTGGCAGGGAGGTGTGACCAATCCCAGTGTTCCCTGTTGTCTGTGATAGCCCAGGCACACTCAGACACTTGTTTTCTCTAAGAATATTAGTTTAAAAGTTCCCTTTCCTGCAAGTCTCCCTTCCTTTAAAGCTCCTAAATTCCCTCAACAATCCAGCCCTCCTTCTCCTCCACTGCCTTCCAGGTCACTACTGGACCTACTGAAGTGTAATCACAAGGTCATTTCCTGGGTTGGATCATGTCCTTTGAAAATACCCCAAAGTTAATACTGTGTGGACCCAAGAGCACCACTCAACAGCAAGAAGCAGGACACAAAACAAGTGACTTCACCTGGGTTATGGCACAGCTGATCATCTTATGAAAGCAACTCTTTACACTTCCAAAATCAAGTCGGGCTAAAGCTGTGCTTAACCCCAGCCCCTGCCCATCACTTCCTGGCTCAGTGCCTAGCAGGTTTGCCCATTCCCAGGCAGGTAAATCCCTGCGCCATCCCCAGGTCTGTGCATCCCACAGCCTGCACCACCTTGCGAGTGAAGTGCCACACACCCCTGGCCAGCTGCCACTGCTCTGTTCCCATGTCACACCTCCAGCAAAGCTCCAGGTGCCACTTTTGTTCCTGTGGGCAGTTGCCCTTGGCAGCTGTTTCTTAGAGTAGTAACTATGCAAACAGCACACACTGATAAGTGAAATTCCTGTTCATTAGGGGACAGGTTTATAATCCTGCTCCAAAACCAAGCCAGCATTTGCTCTGTAAAGCCTGAGCTTCTCCATCTGTACGAAGTTCCCCAGAAACACCCCAAGTACTGTTTGCACTCTATGGAGGATGATGGGAAAGAAACACACTTGGGGGAAGCAGCCGTGACACAACCCTGCCAAGTGCCCTTATCACCTCCACTCTACCCTCTCTGGAAAGCAGGCGTTGCTGGAGAGCAGGGAAAGTTTATGCCGGATCACTATGGAGAAGGAATGTGCTTGTGCAAACATCCCACCCAGCCCAGGTCCCACTGCCAGCGACTCCTGAACTGCAGCAGCACCCAGCTGGGCTGGACTCTATCGAATCTATCACTTTGGCCTGTGACAGGAGTGGGTCACAGCCCAGGAGCAGGACGACCCGAGGTGTGACTAGAGCACTTGCTCTACGGCTTTTTTGGCTGGCAGTCTGCGCTCTGAGGAGACAGAGAGGGAGGTCTTTTGCATGGGATAATAAAGGATTTATTGCTCTGGGGAGCTCTGGGGAATCTTGGGCACAAAAGACAGAAAATGTGAGTGTGCAACAGCTGAAATATGGAGGTAGTTCAAAGGGAAGGTACAGATCATCAGCTAATCAGAGATATCCTGGGGAGGATAAAAGGCAGGGTTCACAAAATCATCATCCAATGAGGGAGGCAGAGGGGGACAATTGAATCACATGGACTAATCAAGCGTCCAAATTTAGGGGATTTCCAAAGTGGAATTCCAAGCATGTGATGAGCCTAAAACGCATTGACAGGAGACTGAGGGTAGATTGACAGCGTGGGGTGGGAGGGTCTCATTTGGACCAAACCATCAACTCGGGCAATAACAGAACATACCATTAACAAGAAACACTGTAACAGGACTCTGCTCAGTGCCTGAGGGCACAGACCCAATCTCTGAGGGACTGCCAGTGCACACTCATGCCACAACCTGCTGCCCTGGAACAGGGAACATTCTCCAGTGTGCAGCTCTGGCATCGACTCGCGCTCACCACCCTGCCAGCAACACAGGATGAACCCATACTCCCCAGGGCACCTCCTGCTGTTACACCCGGCCAACATGGCACACAATCACAGGGGGAAACCCCTCGCTCCAAAACCAAGTGATAAGGGGGCACAGAGTTGCATTTTTAAAGCCTGAGACTTGGGTCTCACCACAACTCAGCTTGGGGCAAGAGGATCATGGGCCACCTCCTTCAGTTCAGAGCTAGTAACTGTGATGCTGGGCTGTAGGAAGCCTGACCTGCACCAGTGATCCAATGGATAAACGAGGCTTTTGTGAAAATACACAAACAGGATAAAGTGTGCAGCATGGTCACCTGACAGGCACAAAGTGTGTGAGCCTGGCCTGCCCCATGGCACAGGATCAGCCTGCAGAAGGGCTCCTGACTTCCCCCAATACCTGCACAAAGAGCAACTAATGGCAGAGATTTATTTTCTGCAAGGACAGGAGCCTCTAGGAATGGTATCACCAAAACAGCCAGAAAAGCTTTTGTTTACCACAGCTTTCCAATTCCACCACAAGTTACAGGGCAGAAAGCTGGAGTTTGTACCCAGCTTTCGAAAGGGACAGACCATGATGTGAGCCTGGCCCTTCTGCTAGAAGGAATTGATCTTGCACTGGAATGAGACCAAGGAGGTCAGGGAAAGACCAGCTGGTCAACTGAGCAGTGCCACCTAGTTTGGTTAAAAGATACTGGATCCTGCAGGGAATTGTGCTGCCAGGCAGGAAACACCAAAAGGGGCTGCTGGCCTGAACCAGGGATAGGAGCTGCTCATGTAATATGGAAGGCAGACACAAGTTACCAGCTACAGAGGCTTAAGATGGAATAGCCACATTTTCAGCCAGACTTAGCCCATTTCCCCACTGACCTATCCAATACCCCAACTGCAGGACATGCTGACCTAACACAACACAGGAACAGTGGGGAGAATTGTGCATACCTCAGGAGCTCCCAGGAACCCAGAACTCTTAATGAGGGTGAACAGTTTCACCTTCCTCCTTGTCACAGCTTTCCTATATTACACATTCTCCACTTCTGCCAAATCTGACAACTCTTTTTCACATACACACTTGGTCCTGAAAGACACTTAGAATCCGTGGAGATGTTTTAGTTGAGCACATGCAGGGTCAGGTTTTGCCAGAAGACATTAAAGGAAGCAGAGATTCCTAGAGTTCCATCTTTCTCCACATATTACAAGGCAGGTGCAGCTACAGAAGCCCCCACCACACTGCACACACAAATGAGCACACAACCTGTTACCATAGTAGACTCTTGGTTTTATTCGTTCTCTTAGCACAGTAATTTTTATTCATTTGCCTTTTCTGGCCTTGATCTTCCTCAAGTAGAACTCTAATTCCTTGCCTTCCAACACGTAGCCATCAGCTCGGCCACACTGTCCAGGTCTGGAGGCAATGCAGGCTGCAAGGAGAAGTCATTCAGTTAAAGTTTGGCCATTTCCCACCCCAGTGCACACACTGAAGAACACTGCATGCAGCCTCTCTGCAGCACCCCTGCCTGAGGCACCGTGCTCTGGAAGCTGCGCTGCTGCGGTCCCTAACGAAGTCCTCCTCAGATCTCCAAACTGTCATCGCTTGGGTTCAGTAGCAGAACTGGACAAAGGTCTCATCACCAGAAGACTTCAGAACACTCAACTGTTTGCCAGAGTTTGAAACATCAAAGATCTTAGATGCCTGCAGCACATTTTTCCTCATTTTGTGAGGACACATGTCCTCATTTTGCTAGTCCTGAGCCCCATTTCTTTCTCAAAGCCCCAAGAGGAATAATCAACTGCAGGAGCCTAGCTAGCCAGATTTCCCCATCCTGCCACAAAGGGGGTATCTCTGGAGAAGACAGAAGAGCAAGTTACATTAATGCTGCCAGGGACTCACCAAGTAGCTTTCCTTGCTGGAACTGCTCCTCAAGAATACTTGCTATCTTGGCATTCTTCTTTCGCTCATCATATTTTTTCTGGATCTTCTTTGAACGCTTCTTGTTCAGTATTTCCTCCTCTTCAGGAGTCTAAACCCAAGACCAAAAGCAAAAAAATTGTTTAACAAATGGCCACCCTCCACTAACAAAGGTGTTTTCCATTACCGTGAAGGAAACCCTTGTATTCTCAGCACTGTACTGTTTTCAAAGCCATACCTGGCTGAGGTACAAATACTTTGATCTCACAGAACCAGGTGCTGCATTTCACTTTTCAGACCAAGAAATGCAATACTGCTAAGTAGAGTCACTGCTGACAACTGAGCACAGTGCCCTAGGGAAGGCTGTGTTCTCAAGTCAATGAAAGTGCAAAGGTTTCCCTGGTGAATCAATCCTCCTACAAAAAGCAGTGAATACTCTTTCCCTCTGCAGAAATAATGAAAGCACTTGGTTGTGGTACAAGCTCAGGCAGATGAGCTCTCCCCCTGCTTCTGCACTACACAGCACCCGAACGAGAACTGCATTGCTTTAAATGTAAAGATTAACCTGTAAGCTACAGGTTGGATTTTAAATACCTTCTAGCAGTTTGACGTTTGATTCTTAGATTAATGGCTCAGTGTAGTTCTAAGACACCTAAAAACACCCTGAAGTTCAATTAGCAATCCCCAAGCTTCTCACCAAAGCAATCACTGCCCAGCACAAGAACCGAACCTACAAAGTCTTCCTCAGCATCCTAAATTGTCATCGCTGTCCCTTCAGTAGCAGAACTGGACAAAGGTATCATCATTAGAAGACAAAGATCTGACAGGCAGGTCCTTGTGCACAAATGGGTGTTATGCTTCTGGGAGAGCTCCTGCTATTGAGCACTCCATTAAGAGATCCAGACTTATCCTGGAAACCTATAGGAATACAACTTGGACAACCAATGCTGGGTACCTAACCCTATTCTGGCAGGCAGTGTCTGCTCAGGATGGGTAACTGCCTCTGGCTGCAGACTCTGCTCTGCCAGGAGCCAAAAGTACAACCTCAGACGTACCAGTTTGGCGCCCTTCTTGCGTCCGAGGGGCAGGGCATAGTGGGCCTCATACCACTGCCGGTATGGGGTGCTGTCAATGAGCACGATGCAGTTCTTCACCAGGGTCTTTGTCCGCACCAGCTCGTTGTTGGAAGCGTTGTACACAACATCAATAATTCTGGTCTTGCGAGTGCAGCCTTTCAAAAGAAGAGCATGGGTTCAGACCTACAGGGATCAGGCAGCTGAGTATATAGTTCATAGCATCTCACACATACCATTAAAATGATTTTGCACTCAACACCACATCCAGTATCCTCCAGGCTGCCTGGCACTGAATTAAATTTAACTAAAAGATGCATCTATTTTTTGTCAGTTAAACTTTCTGTTGCTAGGACAGAAATCTACACCTGAAAATTAAATCCCTCCTACATGAAAAACCAGATCAGTGGCCTTGCTGTAACTCATCTCAAAAGTATCTAAGCAATCCTAGAAAATAGTATTCCAGACTGCAAGATCAGTAGATGCCAAGTGACACTGTACACAGGGCTCAATGCTGTATCCACTTGATAGAATTACTCATTTAAGCCACACTGAGCAGGATTGCCCTGCAACACATTTCAGAAACCATTTCCATAGGAGTAAATTGAGAAGGGAAGCTAATGTTTTCACCTTTCCAAGACCCACCTGAAGTATACAGTCTTAGATACCAGATTTGACTATTTAGCAGTCACCTTCTCTGGAAATAGCCCTCCACATCCACTAAGATCATTCACAAGATGGATGGGTTTTCTCCCTTCCCTCACGTACCTCATTCTTGTGCAAGGTGCACTCAGCCTCTTCATATTTGCAATACTGACTGTACTTTTCACTGCACAGACAATAATGCTCTGAGATAACTGAAAGCAAGTCCTGTCCCCTCACACCATGCAGGTCACTAACCCACCACCTTCCTTACTGCGGTGCTGTTTTACTATCCTACTCAGAACCCTCCTGGACTGGGCCCAGGTTCAAGTGATACTGTTGTCAGTCTGCAAAGCAAAGAAAACCCACCTTGCTCAGGGGAAATATTACAGAATCCCCCTCTTGTTTCTGGGCTTTCCACTTTTGCTTAGCAAAGCAGAAATATGAAATTGCACATGCTAATTAACACTGTCCTAGGGTCAGACCTTCTCACAAGCATACTGAGCACCTTTCTCTGTTGCACAACATCACTTTACTTTTAGTTACGAACAAAACTTTAATTTATGAAGAATTACTCATATATAGATTTTCAGTTCATCTTTAGCCCCTCTCCCCCATAGTTAGGTAAGCATGTCACTCAGTGTAACTATGACACTCCTATCACTGTGAACTTAGTGGAAATCCAAGTCCCCTAAGGCCACGTAAGGTCAAAGTTATCCTCATCACCATGCATGCCGCTTCAGCTGCCACCTCCAGGATGTTCAATCCAAGCCCACAAATCCATGTTTGCATCCTTCTACTCTGCAGCAGTACTGCAGACCAGCGCAGGTCTCATCACATACTTACATTCTGAACCCCAGGAGAAGTTGCCGACATCCAACCGAAGGGCTCGGTACTTCTTATTGCCCCCACGAACCCTGACAGTGTGAATCCGGCGTGGGCCAATCTGCAGTCAGAAACAAACACCAGGCTGCCGTTGGTGCTCAGAAGTTGCACGGCCCTGCTCTTTCAGGAGCACAACAGAGTCCTAACCTCGAAGGCAATGTGGTCAGTGTAACTATGACAAACCCCAGCATCGGCAGACACAGTAAATGACCAGAACGGTCTGCTGCATCTACCTAAGGTGAAAGCTTCATCATTCCAATTGCCTCTTTCTGCAAAAATGTATCACTGCTTTCCATCGGCAGAAGGGCAAAAGCACCTTTTAGAGAAGCAGGGTCAGGTATTCAATCTCACACCAAACAGCAGGTATTTAAACCTCTATTAGCACAAGAGCAGTAACTCGAGTTTGAAAACAAGATTCTGACTAACCTCGCCCAACCACTCACCTTAGTGTTGGCGGGAGGTCGCCCCAACTCATACTTCCTCTTCTTATGGTAGGGCTTCCTCTTGCCCCCAGTCTTGCGACGCTTGTGCCAGTTGTCCCTGGAGATACCTGAATGGAGAGCAGTGTGGTCAGAGGGTGCCACGAGCCCGTCCGGCTGCAGCAGCAGGGCGCGGTTCTGAGTCCTCAGCTCTCCAAGGTTGGTATCCGCACAGTGCACTCAGCCTTATGCAGCAGTTAGAGAAGCTTCATCATTGATACTCAGATGTGCCCCGAACGCGTCCCTTACAGCAGAGCTGTGACAAGCACACAGACCCCCTGTTCCGCGTGCTCTTTGGGAAGCTGCCTCCCAACGTACCTCGCGTGCTGGGCACTCTCTGGGAAGCGCCCGACGCCGATCTGACAGGCACGCTACAGCAATCATCCTACGCTACCGGCAGGATGTGGGAGGTCTGCTATAGGAAGGGACCCCCATCCCACCTGTCCGCTGAGCCCCTACGAGAGACACCCCAAATCAACTCAGCCTGCTGGGTCCCCAACGGGGACCATCTCTGCAGAACACGCCACCTCCCGCAAAGGCACAAGCTGCCAACCGCCTCAGTGTTCCCCCTCACCCGCATCTGCTCATCTGCAGCAGACACCGGGAGCGAGCCCAGCCCTCGGGATCTGCAGGAAATCAAGGCACGGCGAGAAGAGGCCGTCCGCCCCATCATCCTCCAGCCGCCATGTTGGGCCCGGTCACCCTCCCCCCGCTAGCGGCTCGGCACTACCGCAGCCGCCCCTATGGCGGACGGCGCAGGGCGGCGG